GTAAAGATTCCATTGGAAATACATTCTACAAGATGTTGTCTCATGCAAGTGGTGTCAAACTCTAACTCTTCACTCCCGTTAAACCCATTGAAACAAAATTCTACCAAGTTAGCAATAGCAAAAACCCCACAGTCAACCCCGTTTTTCTGTTGTTGCACATTTGGTAATACTGTTTTTTAAAACTTTTATATTTTCCCCATATGATGATGGTGGTGGAGGTTTTTACATATTATGCATATTTAGCGAGTCTTGACGAACTTATGTCCCCTTAGTACGGGTACGGGAGGAAACAAAACACCCGCGATCACAACAAAGTCATAATTTCATGTGAAATATGTTGTTTATTTCAACGAAACTTACAAAATTATCAACAGTAAGGTATTTTCTTCTATATATCTGAAAATAACATGTTATTTTTCCCTAAATTTCTAGTTATATGTGAAAAACCGTGATTTTCATGGTTGACTGCGGCGTACAAGTTTAACCCCCTTGAAAAACACATTATCGTCGATTTCTAAATTATCAGATAATAATAAATAAACATTTTTGTAATTGTCACATTTAGAAAATAATGTTTGAAATTATTGTATTTTTTTTATAAAAATCATAAACCATCGCGTTAATGAGATATTAAAATATCTTGTTATTCCCGGTACGGGATTCAGTCCGGGTCCGTGAACGGGGTACAAGATTTACCTACCACCATATTTCCATATTTACGGTTCGTGTAACGGAATGCGTACGTGTACCTGGGGTAATTCGCGATCTAAACCAATAAAACATGTAAAATTACTCTGAGGTCCAAATATAGCTGTAACAAATTATCAGGTCTCTGTGGTCTCGCCTTCCCCATGCCTGTTCGTTTATTCGCAACAACCGGTTTGACTGTTGCAAGCACAAGGGTTTGAGGGTTTGTTTTACCGAAAATCGATCTAAACTCCCCAAACGTGTAAAATTACTTTAAACACCGTAGTTTAGGTCCAAATATAGCTGTAACAAATTATCAGGTCCCTGTGCTTGCAAGGTTTTGCAAAGGCTCGCCTGAAAACAGTACCTGATAACTAGATCCGACCTTATTTCATAAACGAACAACTCTGGTCGAACCGGTTCAACCGTTTGCTGTCTCCTGTATATTTAGCTGCGGACTGTGAGCTATGCGATCGTCTCAGGTGTTGTTCTGACTATGTAGGGAAAGTTGTCATATGATGTACACAATGTTAAGAAAAATATTAACAGAATTTTTATGTTGGATAATGTGTTGTGGAATCGTCCTGCCGTTCACGTTACAGTATCCATACATTGTTCAAGAATTATTTAAGAATTCAAAGAGCTTACTCTTTACTGAAAGATAACTGTTCATATTTCCTTAAGTCGGCATTTATGAAAACGGAAAAATATTAATGAATAAACAAGTTGCTGTCCTCTAAAAATGGACTAATAGAATCTTTCACCCCCTT